TACCTCTGGTGCAAATTACTGACCTCTGTCATCATTTTAGGTGGGGGAACTTGCACAATCGGTGGCTGACTAAATACTTTTTTGCCCCACTGTATGTGATGTACTGTGTAGTCAAATATATTTATATTTAGAATAACTCACATTCCAACATGTGCAAATTTTTTACACAACTTCGTTTAACCAGCACTGATCTCTTCGGATAAATAAACCATGTGCACACTTGCCCTACTTACTTTTGCGTGATTGCATTTCAAACTGGCTGAGGGACTGCTTGTTGCATGGTGTGACAATGGGATTCTGACCATGGAGCTCCCTCTTTGACAGCAGCTCCATTAACTTTCTGGAGGATGCCTCTGAACCAACACACACCAGAGCAAACCTGGAAAACACGCAGAGGGCATACAGTCAGACAATTGATCGCATAAACATCAATGCACTGTGAAATTCTGAGCTGATAGTAATATCTAAACAAGGTCACTGGCACTCAAGAACATATTTATGTCTTTAGAAACAACAGCCTTGTGGTAATACAATCATAAAACTGACTCAGTGTGATCCCACCCTGTACTCCTAACACGAAATACTTAACATACTCTTTGACGTAGTCCAACTGCATCATAGAAATAAAATACTAAAGACCTCACCCTTTTGACTGGCCATTGGCTCGGTTTTCAAAGAACTTTATCTCCAGCACATCTGTGATGCCTATCACCCGGATAGCTTCTGTCAAGTCCTCATCAGTTGTCCACTGCAAAAACAACCCCAAGCAAAATGGCATCATGTATGGATCACAATTAAATTTGTAAGTCCAATTTTTAGACAATCTGACACTCACCCATGTGAGGTTTCCTATGTACAGGGCGATTCTTTTTCCAGTGTAGGTGTACACCACGTTGGGCGGAGCGCTTTTCCCTCCCTCTGTGCCACCTGGGGCTGGCAGTGAATCCAAGTAATCCCGGTCTTCTGGAGCATCACCATTATTGGCTGATGGGGATATTACGTCATCATACAGGTCGATCTGCTCATGAACTGGGTAGTCAGCTTCCTGTATTAAGAATGCAAGAAAAGATCAGTGAAGCACTTAATATCTAGAGCTTGATAATGATTTGATGTTATTAACACCAAGGATATAATTTATCAGCTTCTATGTCTGATCTGATTCTGAATCGGTTTCCTCACCAACACCAGAATAGCAAACCTACATTGGTTTTCACCATCACATTGTACAAAAAGGTTTCCTTGTAACAGGTGTGCAAAATTCCCACTGAATTGAGTTTGATTTAATTGTTTTTGCAATAGGCAGTTGTCAGAAAAACATACCAGCACTCATTAAAAAGATGTAATTCACTATTGAATCAATTCAAGTTCAATAACACTAGCATCATGCAACTGCTTTATGCTGACCAGGAAAAGTCAATTTAGGGTTAAGATTCACAGCATATCCAGATATTGTAGTATGATAATAATAATAATAATAACAGCATAAACTTGTGATCAGCAGATAGTCGCAAGCTTCGTAGAACTTATATCCGTATCAAATTAATTTGAAGTGGTTTATTTATGCACCCTGTGCAAAACCAATTGCTTCAATTGGGACAATTAAAAGATTGGGGGTTTACTTAACCAATCTGCCAAAGTCGTGACTTAAATATATCCGTTAAATCATTTTATTCTAATACACTGGCTTACTTAAGTTCAAATTTGATCACCTGGACAAATTTATGCGTCGTGACTTTCCCCAAGCATGAATGCAAACTGAGTGTTTGCATTATGGGTCAAAATCAAGTATGTTTTGAAAGCTGTTTAGCAGTTCGAGACACAACACTATCTTCACATGCGAGTCCTTGGCTAAGCTGAAATTATAACCACCGTCACAGAAAAGGGGCGTGTGGAGAAAAATATCTTCTGAATAGCCCCAACATTGACCTACTCCATGCTAACAACATGCCGTGTTTATTACACTATTCAGAGCCTACTAAGGTTGGGCGACTGCACGAGTTTATCGACGATAGGCTGAGGCTATCGTCAGCTATTGGCCTGACCATTGTCGGTTGGAAAATGTTTACACAACCTTAGAGCCTAAAGGCGTTCGGTTTAGCTTAAAACTTCTCTTTATCGACTGAAAAAAGTAAAGACTTACTAGACACGACAGCGTGATAGCTGTGAATTAGTCAATGTCAGCTCGCTAACGAAAGTGCGTTTGTTTGTCTTGCTAGCCCGCCACTAACGACCATGCCAAGGCCTGAACCCAAGCTACGCCGTGAAGACGGCTGCTTTTAGCATTTACTTGAATAAATAACAACGCACATCACGAAACAACTGCAGCGTGCATATTAATTACTAAATACATGAAAAGTCGTGTTAAATGTCGACAACCCCACGAACAAACAAAAGTCTGCAAAGCACGCCGATAGCAGAGGCTGCAGGCTTGCAGCATGTTGAAAAGGCCTTGTATGTCAGAGAGCCTCTTTAGCCACAAAAGCTCGCCACTTTGTAGGTTATAATAAATATAGCAGATTATACAGATATTTTAAAAAAAAAAACTATAAGCGAGGTAGGAAAATATGTATTTATTACCTGGCTGAACTCCTCCTCGACGTCGGCGTAGATGTCGATATGATCCACACCGTCCGCCATTTTCCTCTGACTACCAGCTCTCACCGCCTGCGGTGCAGACTACAACGACGGTACGCCACAAACAATGAAAAGAAGACAGGCAACGAGCGCCCCCGCTGGTTAATTTCATTCATTACAACATCACCCGTGTAGACCACGGGAAAATCTGTTGCAGTCACCACTGACTGTGAAACAAAAGCCCACCGTGTTAAAAAAGCAAAACTTATCAAACAGTTTACATGTTTATACATCCTCTTGCTTTACTTATGATTTATAGCATGTGTGACATCAATTTTAATTATATGGCCCCCCTTTTTTTTTTTAGCCTTGAGACGACGTCCCACAATTTACTTGCTTTTGAGGATATTCCCAAGTCTGGCTTTTACCCAATTTATATGAAGGGAAGACTTTCTATTACAATAAACTGCTTTTTGTTACAATGCTTTGGACATCAGGGAAAGTTAAAAGACATCAAAACCTCCAGGGCTTTGCAGAGTTTGAATGATGATGTAAACTACCACAAAGAAAATGACACACAGAGAAATACACTTCTGTCTTTTTGTTTTAGTTTCACACAGGAGAAAATATAATGTGAAGAGACACAGAATATGTGTGTTATAATTATGCCAATCTACCATCACATCCTTACTGACAATACAGGAGATTATAAAGATTGTTGTGTGTGAGCACTAGGACAAACTCTTGCTTTTCTTTTAATCGCTACAGTATTTATTCAGCAAGAGAGCTTGGAATATAATATATGTGGGGTATTCCCCCAGCATTGTTAATGTTTTCCACTTTGCACTAGACAAACACAGTCTTTGTCCCATATTTAGTTTGTTGGGATCTGATCACCAAAACTGCCAGGCTGTCGTATCAGAACCCCTGACTGGTATAGATTTCAGAGTGAAACTCGGAACATTGCATGACCATATTTGTTTGCAGTTTACTTGTTTAGGTATTTAAATAATATCAAACGAGCTGCGAAGCAAGAGGCTTGAATGCAGCAATTTTAGAACTTTTAATTGACAATTCACTAGAGAGAAAAAAATAAATAAAAATAATGCTAATATTGCATTGGTGGTCAGGAGGATGAATTAATCTTCCCTAAAACTGCCATGTGTCTACTGGTGGTATTTGAAACTGGTTCTTTTACACATCAAATTAAATATATTTTATTAGTATGAAGATGCAGTGATTAGCAGTGTCACTTGAAAGCAAGGAGCTTCCTCTTTTGTGCCTCCTGGTCCACTGGGGCCTTTCTATATAATGTTTTATGTTTTACATTTGCCATTCTGGATGCTCTGGGATCCCCCCCACAGTACTCAGACGTGCATGCTTAACTGGGGGTTTTAAGTTGGGTGTGAGTGTAGATTTTCTTTGTTTTCTGTCTATCTGTGCTAGACCTGTGATGAATTGACAGGATTGTATGCGTTCAAACCAAAGAACTTTAAAGTACGAATGAGTACAAAGCTTTGACTATCCCTGAAATTTCAGTTAGAGTAATTTCTTTTATATATATTACAAAAAAAGATTTCTCAGGTTGTCAGTAGACAGAACTGAAGGATTGAATCCAATTACCAATAAAGTCATAATTTTGATAACTGTCATCCATTTACCTTTATGTGGCCAAAATAAATTACTCAAGTTTTTGTTTTAAGCAGATAAACAACAAAACCCAAATTTATAATTTTATTTAGACAGTACAAATCAGGGCCATAGATGTGGCAATGTCAACCCGTGGAGAGTACAAACAAAATCAGGACAGCTAAATAATTAACTTTCAGAAACTTAATAAGATTAACTTATATGTGTGCTTTGAGAGGCAATTAAAAATGGGTGTAGAAAAGGCTACACAGACACTCAGAGCCAAAAATGCATTTAAGTGCTCAGCAAAAAGTGCAAAATATAAAACATACAGGCAAATATATACAAAAATATCATATGCAGTTAGTTTCATAGTGTTAATTGACACTGAGATTACATTTTTATTACTGTGACATTTTATTTTTAGTGACTGAGCTATAATAGCGAGCATTGCTATAAAAGTTACATTTTAAATGAAGAAAAAAAAGGCTTAAGAAGAGCGTTCATAAACCATGTTACAAAAAAAACTATAAATATTTCTTAATCGCAAAAAACATTTGTATATTTTTTCAAAAATGTAACTCCTTGGTGCCAAATACATTGCAAATGCATGTATGCATTGTTTTAATGTGAAAAGTTAGATATTTCATTTTTAGAGTGTGACGATCTTCAGCTCATTTATCATTTCAGCATTTACAGCCCATTAGCCAGACATACATAATTAGTTACGGTATGTACAGAGAGACAAAAGACAAAAAAAGGCAGACAGATATGTAAAAATAATAGTCACAGAAACATACATTTATAGGATGGAAATAAAAAGTGAAAACATAGTTCCCATAGACGCTGACAACTCCATTCTATTTTACTTTATTGCATATTAATTTTACACAATGAGTCCAATTGTGCCTGCTTGTCCATTATTATCGTGACTCATTAGCAACACAACAGTGTCTCCCTGTATCCCCCTACTGCAGCCCTCTTCACACTGGCTATTCTGCATTTATAAAAGTCTGCAGATAATGCATTAGATGTGTTTACTGGATGTATCCAACGCATATATAATATGCATGTGTGTGGATAAATACACAGCTCATTGGGATATGGGAATTGAACAATGCATGTTTTTCTCTTTTCACTTTTTCATGTTGTACCGTGTGAATCGTTACTTCTTATTCATTAACACCCATCACAGCTAGCCGTCACCCTTCAGTCCCTTTTCGTTCAGAGATACAATGTGGAGCATAAGAAAATAACAAATGAAAAAAGTATCCATGGCAACAACAGTACAGCAAGTTCTCTTTTTTGCAGCTTTTAGTTCAAATGTAATTCTCTGAAGTTAAACAGCAAATGCTCATAACATCCAAGGTCCTTAAAGAGAGATTGCGTCTGTCGCCTTTGTGAGCAAAATGTGCAGAATCTGTTCAGTAGTTTAAAAAAAAATCCACTCAAGGATTTCAGTTTTTGTCGTCTTCTCCTTTATATGATGAAGCATAAAAGAGCAAAGTTATCCGTCATCAGGAAACAACAGCAGCAAAAAGGAGACACATGAAGGAAACAGAGGTTGACGGAGATATAAAAGAGGCTCCTCCACAGTCATCGGCGTTCTCCTGCAGAGACAAAGCAGAAAATGATTTCACCTGGCGAGTCTTCAATTTGCTACCAAGCATTGACGAAAATGTGATGTATTCAAACAGAAAATCATTTTAGGGCCACGGAACCAGTAAGACGAGAGAAGAATGCTGGTTTTATGCATGCATGTTTAAACACATGTACAACCCAATTTTCAAAAACACAAAGATGCTCTGAAAAGGTAAATTAAAAGTAGTACAAAGACAAAATATTGAATATTGAATGAAATAAAGTAATGTGCAAAAGTCTTGAGTCAGGAAACTGGGAAGGCCTTTGCTTATGACCACTTAAAAAATTACAACAGTCTTCCTCCTTGGAAAAAAATGTAAAGAAATGAGTGATGGCTCAAATTATGTTTTATTTATTCAATTTTTTTTAACATAATATATGCTCATTTAGAATTTGAAGCCAGTAACGTGTTTCAAAAAGGTCAAGCCAGACAACAAAAATACTAGAAAAGTTTTATAAGATCTCACAACTAATGAGGTCAATTAGTAACATGGATAGGTGTAAAAAGAGCATCCTAGAGACTTTTTCATCAGTAAAGACAGGGAGGATTGAACAGTCTGGGTGATTAACTTAAGAGCAATGTTTCATAATGTAAACTTGCAGAGAACTTGTGTTTTTTTCATATACAGTAACATATCTTTAAATAGATTCTGAAAAACTAGACAAAGCAGAAAACCAACACTGAATGCTCTTCAGGCTCTGCATCGAAAACATAGATTGTGTAGTCAAAATTGCTGCATGGAAGTGGGAACACTTCTGAAAACCTTCATCAGATAACACACTTTGTAGCTGCATTTACAAAAAAAAAACCTGTAGTTTGCCCACAGTGAGAATCTGTCACCAAATAGAAGCATTTGGTGCACTGTAACAGAAAAAGATAACAAAAGAGGCTCCAGCTGAAACCCTACATCAACCAAAAATGGGAATTAATTTCTCTTTCAAAAGTGCAGCAACTGATCTCCTCAGTTCAAAACATTTACAGTGGTTGTCCCTACTTTGTTTTGTTTGTCTAGGTTTTTTTGCAGGCATCAACTTAAGAAGGAAAAACCGCTCAGCTTTGAGCTCAGTTTTTATAGTACTTATTATTGTAATATTTACGCTTTAACAGGGTTGTATGAATATACGTGTTTTTTGATGTGTCATGGTGTGGTAAAATGCTGACCTGTGCGTGATAAGAGTGGCAAGACTCGGGGCGTCTGCGAACCTTTTGAGACTTCATCCTGTCACACTTAACTGACGAGTTATGTACAGCGGGGTCAAGGAGCAGCAACAGAAGCATAGTATGGTTTTCCTGCACGCTCATTCAAATATTACCACTAAAGACATGCAGTATAAACATTTTAAAGATATGACATGGCAGGCTCACACCCGGAATCTAACTTAACAGTGCGGCTGGTTGAGTCAGTTAAAGAAACACAACAATTTAGGCCAGCATGCTTAATTAATACACATGTTAGAATAAAGAGTCTGTACTGTACGTACTGTAGGTCTACAAAGTGTGCCCAGATTGACTCAGTGTATAGGCAGGGTGATGCTGCAGTTAGGTTAAAACAAGCAAACTTTATGTGAACATGATTCACGTGATCCATGAATATAAACATCACAGGATATATCTGACTTCCTCTGGCTCCAGGGTGATGGGTGGGTACTGTTTGGAGCAGTCACAGTCTGCTTGCACCACCAGCATCAACAGGTTGCTCTCTGGTATCTGCTGCACTACAAACATCCTGACATAAACAAAAAGGAAAAGTGTGAAATAGACAAAAACACAGAAAGACAACCTTCTATGTAACATAATGACACAAGCCAGGCAGTGCAGGATGGATAAAATAACATAATTATGATCATTATTCACACGTGATTATAATGACATTATATTAACAGCATTACTCAAAAACTATCATGGAGAGTGTGGCCCACGTGTAGCTGTGCTGTGTTATACCACCATTAGCCTCATGAGGGTGATCACACCCAGCCTATGGTGACAACCCAGTGATGCTTTCCTCTTTTTACTCTACCCCCCACCCCCCGACCCACCTCCTAGTGCTTTTCCATCTTTGTTTCTGTCACTCACCCCTCCCCAGTCCCTGTACTTTTTTCATTCACCTCTCCTAATACTTTCACTGCTTTCCAACGAGTCACTCTCCCTTCTCCGCTTCTCAGTCTTTCCATAACCCCACACACCATGATCTAAATCAGTTCCTTTCTACTTACTTCCCTCTTTCTGCCACTCTCGTATTAATACAAACTGCTCTCAGTATGCAAAGCAGAGCAAAGCTGTAGAAAATGGATTCTGGAGGAACAATTTAATATGACTGGTGTAGGGCTTAGAGAGGACTACACTGCTATTTCTGCGTGCATAAGTGTGCGTGAGCGTGCGCTTACTTCTGGCATCGTCCGCACTTAATAATGCTGTTGGTCTCTTTGACTGACGGCTCATAAACAAAGCTGGGGTACTCGGTGTCACACGGCTGCAGGATGTCCCCTTTTTTCTTATGAACTGAGGCTAATAGAGAGATAGACAGGGGTCATGTTTCGAGATGAGAATTATAACAGAGCTTGTGTGTTAAAGTATATGCATGACATTTTGCTGGTGACTGACAGGCTGAGAGTCTGTGACAGGAAATCGAAGGTCTAACGTCTCAATTCTTCACGCATCAGCCTTTTATTGCTGCTTCTTGCGTAAGCCAAATAAACCTTAGCTTGCTGCGTATGATAGGACTAAAAGCAGAGAGAGCCATAATGGCTTGTCAAAATGTCTTATCTTGTTCTGAGCCATGTTTTTGTTTGACTTCTTTAGAATTGCATTAACTTCAGTACAAATTTATGCCTGACTCTTGTTTTGAGGGACTTACCAGATGTGTCTGCTCCCACTGAAACCCACTTATGTAACAGACACAGTAAATACTTTTCTTGGTCTGAAGTATAATATAAAATAATACAGCACACCTAAAAGAATGCTTGGCTGTATCAAAGGATGATGATAATAAGGACCATTTGATTGACAGGTTTAGTGATGATGAATGATATTTTTTAAAGAATTGGTTTATAAACCCAGCATTACAGTCATCCAGAGCTGCTCTGAGGGTTGTGTTAATTTACAAAATAGAGATGACACACACGAGATACAAAGAAAGAGTGGTTAGCCTTAATTAGCCACATTTATTCCGAATGTGAGCTCACCGTCAGCAAAATGCTCCGTGTGCCAGAAGCCACAGATATTGAACTCCAGGAGAAATCTTACAAAAGAGAGAGAAAAGAGGAGAGTGGAAGTCAGTTAGGTGGCTATCATTATAGACTAAAGCACACTGGAAGCATATTGCATGCAGCCTTCCAAAACTGGGCCAGGACCCAAAGTTGTGTCATGGGAATAATAAAATGGGTCCTCAAGTTATTCAGCAGAAATTGGTAGCTTTGGTGGTTGTTTTTCCCCTCCTAACTGGATAAACAGCCTGCTCTTTTATTGAGGCTGTTAGATTTATCAAGTGACTTTATCCCTACCAAGTAAACATAGAAAAAATACTGAGGCTGACTTTCTTAACAGAAAATTGCTAAAATGTTACTTCAATTAGATTTAATAACTACAGTTGTGTATTGCTTTTTTATAATGTTGTGTGTAAAAACATTAGATAAAAACAATCTGATTTTTTCCATCTGTTGATGGAGGATAATCGGTTAACACTATCTCTGATTTCTGGACAGCGATCCAGGCAGCTGAGAGCTTATGTTAATTATTTTTAATTTGGAATTTAATTGTTTCTCTATTTTATATATTTATTTATTGTGCATCCATCTGTGTTTTAAATACTGTCCGGGTTTAAGCTGCAAACTACTGCACAGAATTTAGTTATTTGACAATAAAGAATCTTTGAATAGCTTTTCAGGTAAGTTTTTTTTTTTTAATTTATGGTTTAACTTTGCTAGCAACATTTTAAATTTGGCAAAACTGGTGATGTTAATAAGTAACATAAGTGCACAAAATAGTGTACCTTTGTAGAGTAAATACTACATAGTATAGGATATCGGACAATGTAGCAAAAACTGCATAGCCAATCCAGGTTGCCCCTAGCAACACTTACAGTAGGAAGTTGGAGAGGAACCACTTGAGGGCTGAAGCCAAACCGTAGAACGGCTGAAGAGATAGATGGACAAATTCTATTTAACGGAGAACTGATTTTGGGAATATTTCTGTATAGGGAGAGACTTCACTGTACATACACTGAGAAGTGGACGTGCGCTGCTGACAGAGTGCGAGTTCATCTTACACATGGCCTGGTAGTCGAACAAGGATACCCTAAGGAAACATGAGCACACAAACAAGCACACAGTGTTGCTCCTCTGGCAGTATCGACCCACATTGATTCCCTGACCCCCCTCCAGACTACCACACATGTTTGGCTGAGCTTAACCTTTACAGAATCCCTGAAAGCTATTGTAACTTACAATGATCCCAACGCTAGAATTACTTTTCAGACAACTAATTTTTTTTGTTGTTTTTTTTGTACGCAGTCATCAAACACAAGAACACATAAATACAGAAAATCACAGAGTGTAAATATGCTCACATTGCTACTAAAGATCATCCATGCTCAAAACTAGTTATGTAATATCCTGTGTCAAATGAAGCATGACGAAATCTTTTAGCTGTTTAAAAATAGCACATCACTCAGGAGATTTCAAACATAAAAGATGGGCAAAAACTAAGCATGAAGAAAAAAAACATCCCAAGCCCTCAAACTCAAAGGGGAGCAAAAAGGAAAGGCACGGACAGCTTAATCACAAACACCGAGCCAGACGGGCGCATGCAGAGAGCATAGGAGAGAGACTGTACCATTACACTGCTTGCATACTAATGCAGTGTTTAGGTATCTAAGAACCAAAAAACAAAAGGAAAACATTTGCAAACTGCCACCCTGATTAACATAATTACACAACTACAATTAAAACCTGATAGCAAAACAGCATGGGGCTGACACAATTGCAATTACGAGCCAGATATTCGTTCGGAGACACAGGACCCATGAAGTGGCACTTCACACAGAGTCAGAAAACCGCAGGTTCTCTCAGGATGGCCGTTCAACCAGTCAATCAGGCGAGGAATGACAACCAGCCATTACCTTTTGAACATGCCCATCCTGATCAATGTGGTCATCACTGAGCCATCAATCTCGCCAAAGAACCTTCCCGCCTAACAAGAAAGAGAGAAGAAAGAAGTCTAAAAAAAATCAGTGTGGCAGAACATAAAAAACTCAAGTCCCAATAATCTGATAGAGGAAATATAAGTTCACTTCTGCGATCTCCTGTCCACTTTCACCTCTGTGCGAACTGCGTGGTCGAGCATTTAGTCACAATAAACTCCCAGTTACGAAAACCTTAGGCTGCTGTGTACAATGCAAAATGCAAAGACTGGCAATCTCTAATTGACTGAAAAAGACCAGCTGCTAAACTATTATCCTATTGAAAGCTATGCAGTGAACCTGAATTTGATCATAGCATTTTTCTAACATAACTATGTTTTCAATGGACATAAAATCTGGACTTCAGACAGGCCATTATACCCATAATAAGTGCTTAAGACTAGATATATCATTTAGTGTTAATGGTGCTTTCACAGATGTGCAAGTTAACCATGTCTTGTGTAACAATAGTCCTAATATCAACATAGAGGCTAGCTTTTAAATTGTGTGCTGATAACAACTGAGATCGTCCCTCTTTTACTTAGTCCAAAAGATATATTGATCATGATTTCCAAGAGTTGTTAGACTACAGAGGCCTGGGAATTTGAGAGTCCTGCGCAGCATCTTAGCTGTTCCTACGCTTTTGGACAGAGATCTTGGATGTTGTTCCTGAGATCTGCTGGAGCCACTTGCCTATCTTGGGAATCCCTGCACCTAGTGCATTTGTGGATGCAGTGGTGGACTACATTCACTTCTTCTATAGAATAATTGGTTTTAAATGCTCGTTAGATGAAAAAAGGCATCAAAGATCACAATGTTGTGTTTCTATGTGTTTTGAAATTGTGCATAATTGTCTGCTGAGAAATGTTCCTTGCACCTCTGAATTGGTGTACTACATTACAGTACAGCACTACCTCTGACTCAGTTCACTGATTACAGTTATTATTGATAGTCACTGTGGGAAAAGGTTGATATTTGAAAATGTAAATATGTAAAAGTAAAAAAGAGGTACACTGCCCCAGGATGTCACTGCTATTTGGTTAAAAAAATTAAATATTTTTCTCTGTTGGGCTGGTTAATAGTGGTTAACAGGATGAGAAGACAGTTAAAAAACACATTAACCGTTTTCACCTTTTTTTTTCTTTTAAGGTAATAAATATTGAAGAGCAGAAGGGCCCTCAAACAATCAAGTCAAAGACTAAGGAGCACTCCAGCCGTATTCTGTGAGTGCATGTGTGAGAACTCACATCATTGCGCTGTTCAGAAATGAGGACAAAGCCATTATTGTCAATCACATAGCACTCGATATCCTGGTAAGAGACAGAGGAACCAATTACTTATGTAAGGAAACATCTGTGTCGAACATCACGAACACAGATAACACAGACACCTAAATAATTTATACCACGTATTCATGAAGTGTTCACCTTTGTAGTTTTGCATAGTAGCAAAAGATAATAAATCTTATATATTTATAATAATAATAATAATGATAATACACTTTATGGCAGTGTCATTCAAAAGCAAGATATACTCACTAAGCTGTCACAGCGAAGAGGACAAATCCCCTCCACATTTGAGCACTGGCAGTAAAGAAATCAAGACAGGAAAATGTGTGATTATTTCACCATAATCCAACGTTAGAGAGATTTTTTTTCTTTAATCAAATCGACATCTGAGCTTAGATTAGGGCATGTTTGTGTGAGTGACACATGCTCTGTCTGTGTTTGGCTGTGGGGGTGTTAGGCTTGAGAGTGCGACAGTGTCGACAAGTGCATGTGTATGTGAAAAAAAATGTGTCTGTGTTGGTGTGAAATTGTTAATTTCTGTGAGATATGGGCTGTCTACCTGTGATGGGATCTGAGTGGCTTGTTAGCAAGTTTGTGCATGTGTAATGTTAGCATGTCTCCGACTGTGTGGATGTGAATGTGTAATCTGTTTTAACTGAGGTGCGAAGCTGATTTCACAGAGCTTAGCAGGTGCTGAGGACGTTAAATTTGGTTCAGTAGGAAAAAAAAGTGTGCGAGAAATTATTCATACTTACATCTGTGTCATTTGGCTGGGAAGACACAACGATGGCAACAAAGAGAGTGGAAAGAAATCACAAGCATTACATTATATAGCAAGTGGGCTGATTGACTACTTCTGCTGCTGTGAGCTTGCTAACAAAAAAAAGACTACAGATTATTTTCTTGAACACACATTTCAAATTCCTTTTTAATGAGTTTTCGAGCAGGCTCGTAAAACTTCAGCAATTTTGGAAAATAGTGTACAATTAGATGCTTTCTCATAAAAGAAACCCATCAGTTTGTGCTATAAGAAAACATTAAAAGGGATCTGTATCACTGCAATCAGACTATTTGTCATAATACAAAAGTTTTTAACCATAAGCAAAGTCTGAAACTTTCCTTCTGTTCTTTCGTCTGTGGACTGATGATGAACACCAACAGTTTTCCCGATGATCTTATGTTGTCTGCAGTATATGTGGCTCGGCGTCTATGGACAATGTGTCTTTGGATTCATGGTCAGGCTAAACAGAGCATGTCGAAATGTGAATGAGACCATCTATCATCCTTTTCAATCCCATTACAGCAAAGTGTCAGTCTTTTTCTCTGTTTCCCATCGTCGCCTCCTGAAATAAACTACAATTTGGTGGACTGACAGAAGTGACAATGCTTCTCCCCCACACACTACGGGTAAATGGCACAGCTTGATGAGGAGCAGCACTTACGAGAAAAGGAACTGTCTCTTTCTGCTAACTGAAGCAGATCATGAAAATATACAACCTTGCTAATGAGTCCCAGGAATCACGCTAATCAATGTAGATATGAAGCAAAACTGATCAAAACCACCATACAAATGTGGTGACAGTAGAAGAAAAAGACAGTCAAATCAATAAGAGTTATCTTCTTTGCAGCTTTAATTTGCTTGGCAAATTAAGTGGAAAACCGCCCATTAGTTTAACATGATTTGTGAGCATGACAGATATGCGCTTTCAGAAGGCATCCAAGGTGGAAAAGCTTAATCTGTAGGGAAGCATTAAATATGCTTATTATATTACATTCATCTGTGAGTGAAATTTCTAACATGCTCTTGAGACTCTTATTTTATCAGCATCTACAACTCTGCTAAAACAAAACAAAACAAAAAAAACAATCAATAATTGTTAATAATGCGTTGATCTTCTCTTTTTATTTTTCTAATTATTTACAGTTCACGTATCATATCTCATCTTCACAGTTGTCAGTCAATCAATGTCAGGAACTCAATTCATTTAGGCATTTATATATGGTGAAAAAGAGCTGCTGAAGTTTAAAATGAGCATCAGAATAGTGAAGAAAAGCAATTTAAATGACTTTGCATGTGGCATGGTGGATGGTGCCAAACAGGCTGGTCTGAGTAGTTCAGAAAATTCTGATGTACTCTGATTTCCCCACACAACCAACTCTAGGGCTGTCATGGTCCTGGGTCATTTGACCCAGTGTTTCCAGTTTTCCTGTGTTTTTTGTCATTTTCTATTATGATCGATGTATACGTTCTCTTTACTAGTCTTAAGTTTATTTCCAGAGTGCCTGGTTATCCTGTTTTGAGTTTCTTATGGTCCCTGTTTAGTTCCTTGATTATTTAATAATTTCCCCTTGTGTCGTTGCCCTCTGTGCGTCTGTGTTTGTATGAGTTCTTGTGCCTTCTTTCCCCTCCTTGTTTTATTCCATCATATTCCCCCAGCCAGTCATGTCTCTCTCTCCCTCGTGTTCCCTCGCTCCCTCTCGTCTGCCTCTCCTCCACTCCTGCATCATGTTCCTCTGTTTCCTGTCTTATTGTGCAGGTCTCGTGTTTCCATATTCATGCCGTTCAGTCTTGCCTTCCCTGTCTTGCTATGGTTATTCGTGTCAGCTGTGTTCCCCGTGTGTTCTCATTTCTCGTTATCCTTCTGTGTATTTATGTTAGTGTCTCCCTCAGTTCTGTGTCGTGTGCTCCCTCATAGCTGCGTGTACCTCTCCGTGTTTCTCCAAGTGTATTTTTATTAGAATTTTCCCAGTTTAGTTTTGTATTGGTTTGCATCCAGCAATAAAGCTGTGTTCCTTTGAGTCTACGTTTTCGTCTCTGTGAGTTTGCGTTTGGGTCCTATTCCTGCCTGCACACAGCTGGTTTATGACAAGGGCTTAAAGAGAGTGGCACAAAAAGTGAAACTGTTCAGGGAGTGGCATCTCTCTGGATGAAAAGGACTTGCTGATGTTAGAGGTCAGAGGTGAATGGTCACAATGCTTTAAGTCGATAGGAAGGCAATAGTACCTCCAATAACCGCTGCTATTAAAAAAAAAAAAAAGTATGTAGAAGAGTATCTCTGAATGCACAACACATTCAACCCTAAACCAACTAGGCCACAGCAGCAGAAAACCACACTGGGTGCCACTCCTTTTACCTAAGAACAAGAACATTGCTTCATCTCAATTTCTGCTGCGACATTCAGATGGTAGGGTCGGATTTTGATGAAAACAACATGAAACAATGGGTCCATCCTGACATGTATCAATGGTTCAGCTGGGTAGTGTTGGAATGGTCGTACACTAGGGGTATATACACCCCTTTGTACCATCATCTTTTGCCTTGTCTTTATGACTACAATGTGCCCATGTTCTAATGGCTGAAAGCAGCTATTAAGATGTCCCAAATGTCAAATCATTTCAAACTGTTTTCTTGAACATGGCAATGGTTTCACTGTACTCAGGTGGCCTCCACAGTGACTGAACCTCAGTCCAGTAGAGCAGCTTTGGGATGTAGTGGGAAAAGACTCTTATTATAGATGTTCATGTGACAAACCTGCAGTAATTATGTGATGTTATAATATCAATGCCGACTAAAATCTCTTAGGAATGTTTCCAGCACTTTGTTGAATGTGTGCCTTGATAAATCAACACATTTCTAAATGGAAAAGGGCACCCAACCTGAGAGTTCCCTGAGAGCATCTATGTTTATCACTAGTGCTTCCTGTTTCCTGTCCTACGCCAAATAAGAAAGAAAAAAAAGTGGATTTCCATAAATGTTCTGTAGCTGACTCCAAATCAGAGGTAATTAGTAGAACTGCCCACAGTCGCCACAGCAAAAGCAGCATCATTAGTCTCTGGTCTAGTCTGGGTATCTTATCTAATAATGCTCAAAAACGTGTGTGTGTGTGTGTGTGTTTTACTAAGATTATGAAAAGTGGTGTATTTCTGGAATGAGACAGCAAGCCAAGACAAGATAATTTCTTTCTTCTGCAGGCTGCAGAAAAGGTCATCCATGCTTTTATCGCTATCAGACTAGACTGCTGCAGTTCACTTTACTCAGATCTCAGCATTCAAAGCATCAGAAGACTGCAGTTGATTTAAAATGCTGCTACCAGACTTTTAAGGTACTAAGAGAAGTGACCACATTACCCCAACTGCCCTTCACTGGCTACCAGTGAGTTTTAGAATTGCTTTTGAGATTTTACTATTTGTTTTTAAAGCCTTAAATGCTGTAGCTCCTGTCCACGTCTCTTATGTGATAACTCCTGTGCACACCTGCTGATTGAGATATTCTGGCAGGACTACAGTAATGGTTCCTAATTTGTGGTGGGTCACCAAGAGTGACCGGGACTTTACTTCCCGCCCCCTCAGCTGTGGAACCTGAAGATCTGAGGAATGCTAACTCTGTATCCTCTTTCAGATCTCCTTTTAAAAACGTCCTTTTTTAATGTCCATATCTTAAACGATGATGTTTTTTCAGATTCATTTAAAATATATTCTCGTTTTTTTTCTCAGTAAAATGTTGTCCTGTTTTATTACATTAATTTCATTTTTTATAATCGGGGTCCACATAAGTGGTCCACAGGTGCTTATTCGCTGTCAAAATAAAAGACGTGCACCAGATAAGAAGTTGCAACGCGCGTTTGCGTACATATAAAAGGCACAGTTTTTGTCTGCTAGAGTAGGATTTTCACGGCATATTCTGCACCAGAATATAAGTAATTGCTTAAAGGAGCTTGCTTCTTCGACATCTTTAAGAGTTCTAAACAAATGTCTGTCCTCCTCAAGAAAATCGTATGTACCCAAACGCACGTTGCAACTTCTTATCTGGTGCACGTCTTTTATTTTGACAGCGAATGCGCACCTGCGGACCACTTATTTGCACCCCTGCATATAATTTCACGGTTATTGAGTAGTGTGATCACAAACACAGAAATAGAATGTAAGTACATAGTTAAAAACAGAAGAAGAGAAACACAGGGGTGTTCTCTATGAGATAAATAGGATGCCAAGGTGTGAATAGCACAAAATCTATCATCTTTTGATTCCCATTACTGTCGCCTCAGAACCCCTCACTAATCATGAATTGCTGTCAGACAAAATATAGCAGCAGTCGGCTGTGAGAGACACATGGAGCCTTATATTATAGGGTTTGCATTGTATTTTTTAATATCATGTATTTTTATGAAAGTCTGTTTTTCAGATTTAATCATTGTAGATATTATAATCTGTCAGCAGAGCAAAGCAATGAGACATATATTACTAGTCATATTTAATCCTTCATTTTTACACTTTCTGTTTCCTGTATTTGCATTTTTCACTGTATCTAACACACACATGACTTTTAAATTCCATGGATGTTATGAGCACAGTAGAGTTTTGTAAAAGGAGCTTCCTATTATGATCCTGACAGACTTCAAAAGGATCTTAGCTCTTGCTTTATTTTTCCCTAACTATGAAACTCATTTACTAATACATCAGGTTTTAAGATAGACAAGCTCCCACTGTAAGCCACAAAAGGGTGACCCTCACTCATGTGGTTTCTACTGACATGATAATTGTGCACAGTTTCTTGCCTTAATCATTTCTCAAAAACACAAAGCTAAGGCAAATTTTAATCAGTAATTAAGGCAATCCAATTATTAGTTGCCTTTACTTCATATACTGTATGTCTCTTGGAGTAAGCTAATGGTGAAGAAGTGTACAAATGAGAGGGAAAGCAATATAGTTTCTCTTAACACTGACTGTCTGTGCCCCAACACAGAGGGTAAATATGACAACCCATTGGTAGCAGTATTTTTAGATAGATAAATAGGTTATAGCTGCCATGTGACTGATTATCTTTCCTGCTGAGACTAAGTCTTTCATTTAGGATTTACAGCAGGTACAGTATCTCCACCCCTCAGGGAGAGTACTTAAAATAGACTATAGAGAAGATTTCATGCACGTTTGCATGGATGGACATGCATAAACATACACAGAAAAAACAAGCCTATAGTGTAAGTACACACACACACACAGACGCACAGACACAAACTCTCTAAAATAAAGATCTAGTACATGGCAGCAAGACAAGATGATTATGTAAACTACTTATGGGGGAAAAGAGAGGTTAGAGGAAAGGAGACAGCATGGGAGATAAGAAAGGAATGGATGTAAGAAAAGGGGCACTGCTGATAAGAAATGAAGTGTGGAAAAGTAAGGAGGAAAAAAGAAAAAATACAGATTTAGGAATGACAGTATCAAGTATTCACACAGTAAACAGGAATGATTTTGTGTAAATGCATCATAAATCTAGTGGATAACAACTCTGCTGCACATAATGCTAATGAGTTCATAGCTGATGGATATGGACATAACAACGCACTTGCACACAGATGGCCATGCATATGGTGTCTGCCCAGCACACACACATTACCATTAATAAGCACATATACAGATATAGAATAATATTTTCTTCAATCTTTTCTTCAAAATCCCACCATCACGACACCACAGACACAGAAACACGTGCACACATACACACTCAAAAACCTGGGTCCTGCTGTATTCGGCGATGGAAGCTATCCATCACTTAATGGCTAGCCAGATGCCTTAATGCTTTTTTAACTGCTGTCATTTATAGCCGTGGGACACGACGAGGCCAAGGGCCAAGATATCAAACACCTGCTGCAGGAAGTGTTAGGCCAAATTAAAAAAAAAAAAGTTTTCCCCAAATAAAATATTTTTCTGAAGGTGTGGAAGAACTCAAAAGGATACTAACCATGCAGCAGAACTACAGGGTGGGCCATTTATATGGATACACCGTAATAAAATGGGAATGGTTGGTGATATTAAAGTCCTGTTTGTGGCACATTAGTATATGTGAGGGGGCAAACTCCTCAAGATGGTTGGTGACCATGGTGGCCATTTAGAAGTCGGCCATCTTGGATACAACTTTTGTTTTTTCAATAGGCAGAGGCAAATCCAACATTGAACCAGTTTCACGAAACTTAGCAAGCAGTTTGCTAACTGTAGCATGGGAGATGGGTGGTCTCGTAGGGTGTCTTGCATTGAAATCTGCTGCAATGACCCGGTTACTGCGTTCACCAGATATCAACACAATTTTGATCCGCTCCTCACGTGTTAACCTCTTTGACATGTCAATGGCTGTGAACAAAGAGAAACTTGTAAATAACTCATGGAAGAATAAAGTTACGTTGAAACCAAGCACACCATTGTTTTTCTTGTGACATTACCAATAAGTTTGATGTGTCACATGGCCCTTTTCCTATTGAAAAAACAAAAGTTGTAAATGGCCACCATGGTCACCACCCATCTTGAGGAGTTGTGCAAAATGGGTTCAAAAACATAAACAACTGTGGGATACTGTTTGTCCGTGATTTGGAGAGCCCAGCACATGCTCCCGACGCAGGAAAAAAACCAATTTTGCAGGCGAGACCTACCTTGGCACTTGTGCAGGTGAAGCCAAAGGCAAGATATGCTTCACCATATTTTCTAGTCTTTGGCTTGGAAGGAAGTTGGTTTGGAAACATATTTGGCGATGCTTCATCTCCTGCTTTGTGTTTGTGTGGGAACCCGTCAAAAACCTGTCCACTATGCTAGCAGTGATCAAGCGTTTTTTTTTTGTTTTTTTTTTTGTTTGTCATACCCCCCCCTGCAATGGCTCTGCGCCCCACACTTTGGGAACCTCTGGATTAGGGAAAGTAACCAAAAGTGTCCGGGTCAGAAAAAGGAGACAGAGAGGCAAAATGGTTAAATTAAAGAGTTTTATTACGGTTTCTATTTATAACTCAACTAAAAGAGACGGACAAGCCGCTATCACCATTTGAAGCAACAAACCAAAACTCAAGTAGCTCACTAGCTGCAACCACTCACATGGCACTCTGGCACCAGAACTCCCCTTTCTCTGCCCTTAAATACCTTTAATTGCTGATGTGAGTCAGCTGTACAAAAGAAAAAGGTGGCACCTAAGGCAGGAGAGATGGTAGGACAACACCCACACAGGCAACTTCAGGAGGAGGCCCTGCTAGGCCATAACATTCATATCAGTAATGCTCAACATAATGTGACGAGGAAACAAGCAATTGACTAACCAAAATAACACAGTACAAGCTTAAGTTCTATACACTTGGTTGTCCCTGGAAACAGCATGGCAGCAGCATACTGCTGAAGGAGAATCAGAGTGAACATAAGATGTAAGAGTGAACTATTCTTCTAGAAATTGCTGGGGAAAGTGTTTGTTTTGGAAGTTGGGGGCGCATAGTCTCTAGAAAAATCAGCTCAGGTGGGGCTCGGGATCTATCCAGAGAAGGGCTGTTTTATTATAAACAAGTCTGTCAGATAAACCTATGTGGAACATCTGAACTGTAAGATGCAGAAAACAAGCAGAAACTACAAAGAAAGGTTATCTCTGATGTTAGCAGAGCTCTGTTTGTTTGCTAACAATCGTAGGTGCTAAGCGTTTGTGGACAGGACTCAGTGAAAATCTATAGGACACAGTTCTGGCAAAGCGCTGACAGTTTGAAACAATCGACCTATATCAATCAGCTGTTCTGATAATGTCTCCCTCTGGCAAATGAAATAAATAAATGCTCCAGGTGGCAACAACCACAGGTACAGTATGTGAGGTACAAAATAAGATGCATTTTCAGTATTGGATAATAGTGTAGTTTGCAGGTGACTGTTAAATGTTGGTTGTGTTGGTGTCTATGTCAGCCCCATGACTCCCAGACTGGCACCCAACTGGAGCTTTGCCCAGTGTCATTCGGGCTCCAGCCCCTCAGCGACCTTAAGTTGGATAAGCGGTTAAGAAAGTGGATGAATGAATTCAAGTCTTTGTAACAGCCTGAAAAAGATGACCTTTCACTTTTCAAACAAATTTGGACATAAAGGGATGCTTTATAAAAGCAATGAATAGCTGACCAGATTTAGCCCAGGAAATAACACACTTGGATGTCCCTGCGTCACTCAATCCAGTGCTGATTCTAAAAATCTCTCTTTAGCGCACAAGATATGCAATGAAAACAACTCTAATGATGGCATTTATTCTTCCACTCCTATGTTTAAGGCAGGGTTAGCGCTCCTTTAATATTGGTAACAGTGATACAGAACACATTACATTAAGCTTTGGATGAAACAAAGTTTGAATGCTGTAATTACCAACTAATGGAGCAGAAAATGAACCTATAATCACAGGTTAAACTCCTGGAACAGACAGTGTATTCATTACCAACCACGTTTCATGCAGAATATTGATCAGGTTTATATTCACTCACTGCATTTCTCAAACTGGAAAAGCAGCTTAGGATGCAAAGTCCTGATAGGTAAAAAATACTCAGAAATTGCTGCGCTCTTTTCATCTCATTGTAAAACAAAGCTTTCACGACAGCGCTCAGCTAAAATTGAAATTGAAATCTGACAAAATATAAATCTTCTTTTGGATTGCACCAGAAATGGAAAAATGTGCATGCAAAGATATTCACAGTGTTCAACCCAAAGGAAATAAAGTAGGGGATATTGTTTGGAGAAGAGGAATGGAGTTATTATTTACAAGCTGAAGTATGTGCTGTTTTTTCTAAAAGCATCTTCAGTCTTTTACTGGGGGAAAAAAAACAAAGAGAAATAATAAATCTAATAAGGAAAAAAAAAAGAACCAATACTACAGTAATTACAGGGCTTAATTTTCAAACACTACACACTTATATAAGAACTCATAGCACAGTTTTTCACTGAATAATAGAGCTGTGAAAGAATAAAGTTAATAACAGTCAGCGATGTAGCTACAAGTCAGTTTTATTTAAGAGTGCGTCCAAAACTGTCTTGTTCTCTATTCTAACATTCTATTTTTTTTTTAGTAAATCTCAGTAACTTCATCTTTCAGCACTTTTACAAAGACTATAAAAAGTTTTATGGAGAGATCTTGCTCTAACAGACACTCTGTGGACCTACCTGTGCTGCAATGCCCCAAAATTTGGATTCAATCACCTCCAGAGTCATCTGGACCCCGATGGCTGTGAGAGAGATAGAAAGCGAGACATCAATCAGGTGCAATAAAACGTCTAATATAACACTGACAGGATAAATAATGCTACAATCACTTCTCTCCGATATGAAGACGGTTGGAAAAAGCAATATTATGATTAAGTAGGCTAATAACAGTTTTATAAGTGGTAGCGGTAACAAAATATCAAGTGAGGCTAGTAGCAACATATAACTTGTATTAGTGATGCTCAAAGACGGCAGTGCTGCGGTAATATTTTCAGTAAGCAGTGATTGCTTCAGCAGCAATAACAGCTCCGTTAGTGGAAAAGGGAGGGGAAACTTTAGTTCTAGCACTTAGGAATAAAGAAAATTAATGAG